TCTTCCGGGGGACGCCCTAGATTTTACTCCATATACTCTATTAAACATTAACTCATTTAGATGCGACGGGGTGTTCCTCAGCCGGCTTGTCGCGCACCCTGATGGTAAGCTTGACGCTGGAATCGCAGGCAAGAATTATATCCCAGAGAGAATCGAACCCGTGACCTCATCGAAATGAGATCCTGGAAACGTAGAGCACTAACCACTCGGCTAACTCTGCCTCATTTTTCCCATTGTTCTATTAGGCTGAAAGTTCGAGTGACGGGCCAGACTGATAGTAAGAAATTGTTACATAATATTCCGAAAAGCTATTTTCACTCTCATTTTTGTGACTATTGCATTTGGAGTTGTACTAATGTGAAATCTATTATCTTTTGCTATACAGAATCTCACTCATTATATTTTACAATAATCTGGTATGAATTCACTTTTTTTAGCAGTGTAAAATCTGAAATTGCACGGCAACAAAAAGTTTTTCTGATAGTAGGTATATTCCTGGCTTACTGCCATTACTTTGAATTTTCTTAAAGAGATCTTAACTGAAAGCTAAAATATCAAGGGAATAGCAGCGTTCAAATCCTCATCTCCAAACTCGATTTCCTACCGGTATGACAAGTGTATTGCGGGCTAGTAATTCCCATCTTCAGCAGTACATACAGCTCATTCTTCAAAAGCAGAGCAGATGTGATCTCTTTCGCTAATTCGTGGCTTCGTCTAAATAACTGACGAAAATGCTGTATCCTGTCGACCTGCCATTCCAATTATCAGCTCAACTTGGAAAAAAATCAAAACTCTTGAATAAACGCTGAAGATATTGGTAGAAGAGGGAAGAAGTTTTTATATAACATTTGGTCGAAAATTTAAGGATTTTCGTGAAGATTACCATCAGGAAAAGATCACGAAAATCCTCTGTAACAAGGCAGTATATCGCTTGGAACCGGCCACAGAATAACAACCAATCTCCTTGGTGATGGGTCAACTTGCGGAATAACTTGCGTCACTTAGTCTATAGAGAAAGAATTCAATAGACTTCACTTTTGATAGCTGAAGACCACTTAGATCATTACCAGCCGGGATATGTATCAATCTCCCTATCGAAGATCGGGTGCCTTTTTACAATAGAAAATTAGCTCCCTATCTATGATAGGGAGCTGATTTTCCATTATAAAAGTGCACCCGATCTCGACAGGGAGATTGATACATTCCACCACAGGTTTAGAATTCATACGTGAGATAAGGTAAAGGTTATTAAATTCTAAGAATTAAGCGTATCACTAACATTTCAAATAAAAAAATAACCTATAATAGTTTTCATTCATGTCTCTTTCCACTGATTCAGTAAACATTGAACTCACTGTGGATTGCCCACTGCACTTCTCACCTTGTGGAATTAGTGGTACAATCATCGTGTGTTAAGGGTGAGCTTAGCTTATAAAACGGAATATAGGTAGCCATTTGCTACTAAAATAAA